GGCGCAGGGATGGTGAGTAGTTCGCCATTACTGCGCTTGGTCATCCTGTTGCCCGCCCGGTGCTTCGGCCTGGGTGTGGGTGGGGTTTTCCACGTGGCAGTTGCAGRGGACGGCACGTCGGCGAGAAGTAATCAAGCTTGGAGTAACGATGTGGCGCGGTTGCTAGGGGAGCGGCTTCGACAACAGAGTAAGAAATAATAACAGCAATATTAATAACAAATAGCGGCCTCACCTATGGCTTCATCAACGGCGCAGATGGCGATGGAGGCGGCATCTGTGCAAGATGCCATCGCTGCCGCCATGCTTGGAGAGGAGGGAGCTGCGCTGGAGATTGTGCGGATGCACAAGCAACAGATGGAGGAGATTCATACTGCGCTTATTCAACATAGGCCCAATCTACCAGCGGATCTTCTCGGGGAGGGTGAGGAGTTGGTTAGTGGTTGGGACGCGGAGCTCCATGCAGATCTTTCGTCTCAACGGCCGGGCGCGATTGAGAAGGCGCAGGCGATGGTGGAGTTGGGTGGTTGTGCTGAAGTGCTTAAGAAAGTGAGGAGAATCTTTGATGAACTCAGGGAGGAGCTGTATGGGAGTTTGAGGTGTGATGATGTGAAAGGGTGCTGCTGCGACGGGCCTGAGGAGGGGCAGGAGCTGCGCACTATGTCACAGGATTGTTCGTATGTAGCGGAGGGTGTACTTCGCCGTGGGAGGCTTGAGGAGGGGCAGGGATCTTACGGCGAACTGGAGGAGCGCGACAACGATGCGAGTATGATCGGCAGTCATCTCAACACCAACTTCAGCACGGAGAGCAACGACATCGCCGGCGATGATAATCATAATATCAATGGGCATAACAATGACGACGACAATAATGGTGACAATTACTTCGAAGTGAGCAATATTGTTGCCGATGACAATAACAACAACATCAATATCAGCAAGAACAGCGACAACAACGGTAGTCATAACACTGGCGACCACAACAACGCTGGTGACGATCTCTTTGAAGCTGGTGATGCCGTTTTCCCCGAGGTTGTTGTCGATAACGGTAATGGCATCAGCGATGTCAACAACAGCAATTTCGATGACAATAAAAATGATAGTAT